TCCCCCCCCCCCCCCCCCCCCCCCCCCAAAAAAAAAAAATACACTCCGGAAATTGCCGACTGCCTTGTGAGCAGACTGGCTTTGAAGACAGTAGTGTAGAAAAAGGGCCCTCTGTAAGGTCATGTTCTTGTATTGTATTAACATGAAACAAACAGTTACATTCATACGCTTGGACACACAGATGTGCCCGTGCCCTTAGAGAATGCCTTTTTTTAGAAGGATCTTAATATTTCTAGCATGTTGCATGAGCAGAAATGGCTGCAGAGCAGGTCTAGTTGCAAAGCTTATTTGTGACCAGACGTAATGAATGATCATCTGTCACTAACTTAGCCCTGGATCTTAGCAAGGTGCCAAGCGCTTCCCAGACTTCACGTGTGTGACTAGTAAAATTTCCAGTGCCAAGCACTAAAATGATGAATAAGGGTTTTTTTGTTTCCAATTATTTATTTTAAATAAGAAACACAATTAGAATTCTTTTTTTATTATCTGCTGCCTCTTGAAGGTGCATTTGTGTCATATTTTTCAAGTTTTTTTCCCGCAATGGGAGGGGCTCGAAACTTTAGCTAAAGGAAGGAAAGAAACCATAAATAAACCATTAAAAAATGGGGATTTGGAAAGAATAAAAAATATGAAAAATCCACGATATAACTGCAGAAGTATTTGACCCTGGAGTCATCCCATTGGCTTCAGCAGAAGTACCGATGCTTAAAGTTAGGCACGTGCTTAAGTACTTTGCTGAATTGTGGCCTAAAATACTTTGATGATTAAGTAAGCAACAGTTATTGTTGAGGTTCACCCCCTATAAGACCTTGTGATCTGTGCACGGCAGATTTGTTCTTCCAGGCAAGCCTGCTATTTTGTTAAAGTGATATTGCAGTGGGAAAAAATAGATGGTATCTTGCATGTAAAGATAGGGGTTAGAGACGACTGAGTACCACTTAATTAAAATGAAATCATAGTGTCTGAAAACATTTTTTCAGTTTTCAGCATCCACCTTCTTGTATTTATAGTTTCTTCTAATGCTGGACATAAGATTTACCTCTTGCAATCCCAGAAACTGTGCTGTGATGGTGGAAGTGGTTTACATGATCTCAAAAAGAACTTTGTTGAAAGCTATTTTTAAAGTTTTTTTTCCAAGAGATTCATGCATTATGGGAGGGCGGGGGAAAGTTGAATAAGCCAACAGTTGTTTTAATCCACAGTCCCTGTGACCTTTGCAGTAGTACGTGCGGAAGCCTAACAAAATATCCATATCGGTTGAGTATGTTTTAAGTGAAGCTGAACAAGAAAGCAGATGCATTAAGCTTTGCAAAATTGTAAAATTGATATTGCAGCTATGTCACCTTCGCCTGCAACTGGACTGAGCAAGGGTGAGAGAGAGAGAGAAATCAATTCCACGAGTTTTGGAGAATGTAAGGATGTGTTGAGAACGTGTCTGTGTCTTGTCTCGTGTCTTGTGTTGGTATTGCTGCTACTTTGCCACGGGGGGCCATTTGTGGCCAAGGGTGGTTCAGAAGGGCAAAAGGCGATGGCTAACGAGGAATGAAGGCACCATGTAGTTGCTTTAGCTTTTCATTGGCAAGCAGCAGACCGTAGGCACTTGCAGCACCTCCATCCACTTTGATAGTCTTCCATGAGCCCCTACGGGGCCTGTTGATGGCATGGAGTCCGTCTATGCCACTGGTCTCGTTCCTCTTCACCGCTTGCACAAAACTCTCTTGACTGCTTTTGCGTATTATTCGAAACAGTGGCTTCTAAAAGTAGGGTGGCGGTCACCACCCATCTAGGCTGACACTAAGGCGGTCTTCCAAGTAGGTGCGCCTACTAGGGAGTTGGATTGGAGCTCAGCAACTGAACAAACACATCTGGGAGTCCTTTTTCTGTACCAAGATTTAGCAACTTTTGTTTTAATCCACAAAACAATCTGCCTGAACCTTGGGAGCACTCAGGTTAATTTTACAAGGCAGTTACAGGCTTGTGTTACTCATATAAAATGGTTGTGACTGAGCTGGGGGGGCGGGGTTGTTTTAGCAAATTGGACTCCATCAGTCAATCGCCTAATTGGCAAACGGATGCAAAAGCTGCCAAGGGAGTTTTGTTTGCCCACCCACCCTGTGTAAGTGTGCGTGTTGTGTAGGTTGTGTTTGTGTCCCCCCTTCCTGTAGTCTTTCGTAGTAAAATGCATTGCTGGGTAAATGCACTTCGTGGTAGACCTTATGTTTCATTGCTCTGGTTTGAAGCACACATTTCAGCCTCTGTTTGTGTTACCTTGAGTGGCTGCTCATAGACTAAAAGGTACCTGGATGAGGAACATAAGGCAACATTCGGTGAGACTCTAGATTTGGCAAATGTGTGAAGCGATGCTGAGAAAATGGGCCCATGCTGACGATCTCTGTTGAAGCCATTTTGTTTCTGAAAGGCAGGCCATGCCCTCTAATCGGCTTAGCCAGAGTCTGCCAAAACCCTGTGAAATGTTAGACAGAACTTTTAGAAAGTGTCTGCATGGTTTCATGCTTGGATTAACCAAAGACGACGACAAACACCAATTAATTTATGGTCTAAATTCTGTTACAGTTGATGTCCTTATTTATACCAAATAGCCTTCAGCCAGCTAGTCCTGACTGGTAAAGACTACCAACTTCCAGTCTGCTCATTACTTTTATGATTCTATAACTGTATTTGGAGAAAAATTAGTTTATGACTTCAAGAGGTGATGCATATGCTTTTAAGCTTAGTTTTTAACCACATAGCAATCAAACAAGAAGGTGTCAGATGAAAAAAAAATGCATTTCAGTCGAGGGTTGTAACAAGAGCTGAATAAAAAATGCCAGCTCCCTGACACCCGGGACTTGCACTCACCTGTTCATTTCATTTCCATTCTTCCATATTGTGGATTCATGTTGCAGTTTAAACTCATTGGTGAGTCACTAAAAGGGGAAGCATCAGAGCCAGCCTGAAGTCTACTGTATAAAGCACCAATCGATTAGACCCAAGCTTTTTGTACGACAGACATTGACAGCATTAAATGCAATAAGAACCCAATCCTAAGCTCGTGGATGTCAATTAAAAGATGCTTGTCGACTTCCACGGACTTTGGAAAAGACCTTAAATGAAGAGAGCCGGTTTACTTGTTTTTAGATACCGGCATTGATTTTTATTTGATTATAAACATGCACCCCAGCAATACATATTTACCAACATCCTTGATAGTCATATTGAGTATCGTTCCTTTACTAAAGATGCAAACAGCTGGCCAATACAAGAATAACTTCTTCTGCCATTAATTATAAATCATGGGGGTTATTACAAAATTAATCAGTGTTACAGTTACTAACCAATAAATATTAAATGAACCTGAAGGTGTCTTCTGATATGATTTTAATGTTAACAATTAATTTTGCTTTTTGAAAAAAGAAAAGAAAGGAAGGAAAGAAAGCACGGATAACTTCATTTAAATTATCTCTGTTCAGTTGCACTTCAAGGTTATCCCTTTAACATATGTAATGTTCAGTGTAGACATTTTGCTTCTGTTCCATACTAATAAGTAGGTATAGTTGGGCTCTTTTGCATTTCCAGCTGCCTTTGTCTGCTCAGTAGAAAATGAGACGTTTTAAAAATCCAGGTCCACAGCATCAGCTATATTGACTTCAGTGGCACTCCTCCGATTCACACCAGCTGAGGATTCATCCCTTAGCTATTTCAAGAGCCATCAGCTAAGAAACTGTGCCCTACAAAACCTAATGATGACAGTAGAAATCATAACAGCAAGCTCTTGTTTCTTTTTTTTATTCCATCGAAAGAAAAGTGTCTGTATCATGTTGCTAATGGAATTATCCTCTCTTATAGAGACACGTTTACAAAAGGCTGTTGGACTTATTAGCGACTCTAATACAGATGAATACTAATATCATGGTGCTAAGCAAACAGCAAGAGCTTGTAGCACTTCTCAATCTCCTGCCCGTTGTTCAAACAGAAGCGATGGAGTTCTTAGCTGCAGTTTACAGTTTAAACCTATGAACGTGCTTAGTTACACCTTGAAGTCTCGCACCTCTCTGATTAGGTATTCCCAGCTAGCGAGCCTTGTTAAGGAGCAGAAATCAGAGCAGCATACCTAATAGATAACTTCAGGACCCATCACCTCCTGCAGTCAAATCCTCAGAGGCAGCGGAGGGTGGAAGGATCGCTGGCAAGGGTAACCTCGCTGCAAATTTTTCTCCGTTCATGCTGTCCCTGGGTGGGAAGGGGTGGAACAGGTTCTCAGCTGCTGCTTTGCTTTGAGATCTGCCACCCCCTGCCCTACCCCACCTCTGAGAGCCATAGTTTGAAGGCTGACAAGGCCAGAAATGAAAGGCGTCCATCCTTCTGTCCTAATGTAGCAGTGACAAGTCAAGGAGATGAGTAATTTCCCCTCTACCAACACACACATGCATGTTGCACACACGGACATGCATGCACACTGTTTTCTGCAGGAAGATGCATCCCGGTGTTGTTCCAACCCCCCTGAAGCCGATGCAAAGACTTGCAATATTTCAGTGGGTTTTGGATCAGGTCCCAGGGGAACGTAAGCAGAGCATTCACGAGGGGGAGCTCCATGGGGGTCAGGTGGCTTTCATCCAGAGTATCCCACATGGAGGTAAACTGTAGACGATGGTTAGTCCTTCATTGCATTGCTTCTGCAATGTTTCTTTGCTCACAGTCCAGTGGTGCCCCTCGTTCTCCGTCATTGCTGGTGAGTTGTACCTAACGCCACAAGTCATTAGTGGGACTCTTGTAGTAACATGCTAGTTGCTATAAGCGTGGGCCCTTAAGTAAGGCGTCTTGTCTCTGGTTTTATCACTCATAATACAAGAAAACTGATAGGACTTGGAGGACTTTGGGTTTAAGCTGCCGGCTTTCCTATTAAAGGTTGTAATAACATTTCTCTTTCCTTCTGTTCCTTCAGTTCCAGATTATCAAGAACAGGATATCTTTCTCTGGAGAAAGGAAACTGGCTTTGGATTTAGGATTCTAGGTGGAAATGAGCCTGGAGAACCGGTGAGTGCTTTTGAAAGTGGACTTGTTTCAGACTGCCTTGCACAGTCCCTGCCAAAACGCACGCAGGCATACCCTGCTCTGTGAATAGCCTGTCCGTTCAGTCCTGAACAGACTGCACCCATCCAAATACTCCAGATTCGGAGGAGACTAAAATTCAGCGCTGGCCCCGTGTGCATGTTACAGGCTAGGCCAGCCCCCAGATCTTAACACATCCACACAGAGGTGGAAAGTGATTTTTCCAATCAGTCTTTCAGTAGGTTCCTGTTTTACTATTTGACCTTAAGAGCAGTCTCTCTCGGTCTCTTTTATCTTTTCCTGAATTAACTTGGTTTCTTAGCTGTGAATCTAGCATCCCGGAAAGGTGCCAGACTAAAAGCACCTAATTTTCTGTCTGTTTGCTGAGCAGGTCAAGCATACAAAGTGTCAGCGCGCATTGCTGCAGGCTGCCCTCTCGACGTGCTTCCTGTCCATTTCTGAGGAAAGGGAGGTCACGGTTTTCTTTCATGCCGCAGCAGTGTTGCTGAGCTCAGGGGTGATAAACTGAAGCCAACCTGGTGCATGTGAAAGTGGAGCTGAGGTGATGAGCTCTAGGGCCAGCAAAGAGATTGATTTAGAGTCCAGACTGCTTCTTGGTCTCGCTGCTCTGATTGACGATGCTATTGCTAATCGTCCTGTGCTGTTATTTAGTCTCTTTTGGGAAACACATCCTCTGGAGGCAGGTGATCAGCCGTAGTAAAGGGATCTTGCACACAGTTTTATATCCTGGTGATAAAGAAATAAGGGTGATTGTGGTTGTCATCACCTGGTCCTCCTTCCTCACGTCGGTTCACAGAGGGCTTTATTCAGAACAGCTGATGGATGTCGGTCACTTGTGCTCACTGCTGATTTGGGTTATACACAACCCAGGGCTTCCAATCTCGTTCCCAGTCCCCCCCAAGCTTCCTTAGCTGTCTGATTGTTGAATACCTCCCCTTTTTTTCACCCCCAATAGATTTACATTGGTCACATTGTACCGCTGGGTGCTGCCGATGCTGATGGTCGCCTGCGATCGGGAGATGAGCTGATCTGTGTAGACGGCACGCCTGTGGTTGGAAAATCGCACCAGCTTGTCGTCCAACTTATGCAGCAGGCTGCCAAGCAAGGCCATGTCAACCTCACTGTACGGCGCAAAGTCGTATATACAGGTGCGTTCAGTCTGATTGGGAGGACCTCGCTTTATTATTTTCCAGGCTTAATCCAGGGAATTTACTGGTCAGAAACCCTAAACCTCCATCTCAAAGCAGTTGTATTTCCATTTTTACAGTAAGTGTGACTGCAGATGTTATTCAACCTTCCAGCTGACTTTTATCCTTTTTTTTTTTTTTCTGGCTTTTTGAATGCTTTAAAATATGACACTTACATTTTAAATATGAGTATCTTTATGGCAAGATCTTGGATCTTTTCAGTCTCTGCACAGCTTTAAGATACTAGGTAAGCTATTCATTCCTAATATGCTGCAATTAATAGCTTGGTTGTATTACAGTGAGTTCTTGATGCTCTGTAGTGCACTGGTTTTACAAGCACGCCATAAAATACTGCCCCTCCCTGAAGACCTTTTCATTGAAATAGTTAAAACACGGGCTGGGAAGGGAAAGAGAGACAGAGAAGGGAAGGAAGTACTTTGCTAGTTCAGTGATGGAGCTGGGAGTGAAATATATTTACAAATGAAGTCACGTTTCAGTGCCCTGACCCCTGGGCCGTGCTTCTCTGGTAGAGAGAACGTTAAAAAATGATGCCAAGTGAGAGTCGTTTGAAATCCTCTCCTTTTTTTTTTTTGGTTTTGTAAGTAAGGTTCCAGTGGTTGCACATTCACAAATTGATGCAGGACAGAAATGTATCCTTCGCTGCCAATGAACAGGGCGTGGACATGGAAGAACAGCCGAGCCCGGCTTGCAAATCTACAAAAATGTGCTGTTATTAAAGAAAGCGGGGCCATGACAGCGAGGTTGCTAGATGACACGTGATTTATGTGTTGCTAGTGACAGTTAATAGCAAGTGCTGGGATTTTCTTCCACCTCCATCCAAATTTCAGAGTTGGATCTTGGTCTAGGCCCATTTCTAGACAAAAAGGACGTGGAGCAGACTTCCAGGTGAGGTGTCAACAAAAAGACAGGGAAGGATGTACTTGAAGCCTAAAGGAGGATCAAAATAACCTTTGGGTTGCAAAGGTCCTTGTTTCTCTCCACTGAACTTTGGGTGGACTTCTGGCAGGGGGTGTTACAGCCATGTTTGGTTTCTTTTCCTTTATACTGTCAAAATATAGTGTGAGTGCTGCGTACTAGCCTATGCCATGGAGCTAATGCATCTCAGTTATTTCCAGTCTTAGCATTTTAGATAGCCTAATAGAGGATCGTTTTGCAGAGTTAGGTTCATTTGACTTCTTTATTGCATGTAACCCAGGCTGGAAACGATAACAAAAAGGTTTAGATGGATGAAATACGTACATTTTTGTATCTAGGGACTTCTCCAAATGTGGGATTATTCATGAACAACTCAGCAGAGGAGCATCTCTTTGGCAATAAGGCTGTCCTAACTTAAGGGATGGCATTGTGATATTTAACAGAAACACGCTGAACCCATGTGATTCAGATCTGAGATGTCAATGAGGTTCACACACACAGTTACAATGGTTTCACTAAATCACAATTTTAGGATATAGGCATGGAAATAATTTACCATAGGCCGATTAGGGGTAGGGTTTCCCCATTTATCATCTGGTCCAGGGTAAGCACCTGTGTGCAAGCTCTCACCTTGCAGTAATTGTCCTTTTTTCGTGGAGGGTTAGCCCACCTTTCACTTCACAGGGAATTGTTCATTGCTCCCTTGCCTCTGTAAATTAGCATGAGGCTTCAGTGTGCTACTTGAGCCACATGAGAGCATGTTTGTGCGAGTGTACAGGGGTGCGGGTGTATTTACAGGGCTGTTTCAGTGTGCAGGTAACAACCAGCAGCTCCAGCAGCATCTGGCATGAGCAGATGTTGGTCCAGTTGGAGATATACCTGTCCTGTCATTTATCCCAGGCCCTTTATTTTTTGTAGCTGAACTTCATCTCCAGACTGCTAAAAACACCAGGGCCGTGCCGCCAACATGGTGAGAATTGTGCTTTTCTCTTGCAGTTCCAAAAGCAGAGAACGAAGTCCCTTCTCCAGCCTCCTCGCATCACAGCAGCAACCAGCCTGCTTCCCTGACAGAGGAAAAACGTACCCCGCAGGGAAGCCAAAACTCCTTAAACACCGTGAGCTCCGGCAGCGGCAGCACCAGCGGCATCGGCAGCGGAGGGGGTGGCGGCAGTGGTGTGGTCAGCACCGTGGTGCAGCCGTACGACGTGGAAATCCGGCGTGGAGAAAACGAAGGCTTTGGCTTTGTCATTGTGTCTTCTGTGAGCAGGCCGGAGGCGGGGACGACCTTCGGTAAGTCCTGAAAGCTGTCGCTCTAACGAGGCAAGGGGACGCATGCTGCAGTGCACTGAGGCTAGCCAGGGTTTAAATTAAAATTCATCGGTGTGGCCCACTTTTGGCATCATAATTGGAGGCTGAGAGTTAGTAGGTGTTGGCCTCCTGGGTTTTGTCGAACCCTGGGATCAGAAGAGCGGGACCTTGTGAACTCTGAATAGTAGCAGAGCCAGGAGTGCTAGTGCCCCGTGCTCCTTGAGATCGCTCTCGGGCAGGTTGGCAATAGGTACGAATTCAAACTTTAGATTTCTCTCCCAGCAGAGGAGTAGGAGGATCCCAGAAAGAAGGAGCATTGGGTCCAATGGAGCAAATAACCCAGTTGAAATGCTGCCTCTGGTCCATGGAGGGCCCGTAGATTTGAAACCAGCCCCTCCTAAAAGTGATTAATTTCTCTCTGCGTTTCAGAGGGATGCTCCTAACTGCCCTTAAGGGTATGAGCATGCTGATAGCTAGGGATTGGTGCATTATTAGTGCTTGCTGTGATGGAAGATAATGAAAAGTTGCATCAAAAATGATAGCGCATTGCCTTAACTTGGCCTGCCCTCCATCTCCTCCTCCCAAGCACATGGTTGCATAGAATAGGGAATAACAAGTATTTTGTTCCTCTGCTTCTTTAGTGGATTTGGCCACTTAAAGGCAAGCACATGCATCAACATGGCCTGTTTGTGCATACCTCCCTGGGCCTTCATCTAGCTGGGAAGTTGCATTGCAAGGGAGATTTCTAATTCTTCCTCCAGACACTAAGAGGGATTGTTGGGAAGGGCAGTGTGAAATAGAAAATATACAGCACTGTTCCTCCCTGAAGAGACTGTGATGAGCTGATGTAAAGCATGATGTTCATTCTAGGCAGAACCATTAGCTAAATAAAAGCTGGTGTAATGTAACCTCTCCAGGGGGTCCTCACTTGATATGTTTTGACCTGTAACTGTGTCTCCTTGAATTTTCAAGTACATCAAACTTTTTCCCGATACTCCGCATGAGATGCTTTGCCCTCAGCTATGCAGCGCTTGCCTTGTCCCTGTAGTTTTTGTGCCTCCTTCATGGGTTGTCTTTAGAGATGGGCTGAACTGGTTGAGAAGCTCCCCCTGGTCCCCTTAGTGTGGGGTTTCACGTCCGTGGTCAATACACTGGATCGACTAAATATTAATTTCTGCTTCTGAAACCCACACGACCTCGACTGAAAGGAGCAAGCCAGGCTTTGTATTGCAGGAGAACCTTGCTCACTGTTAAGAAACGGCGTCCCATGTCTAATCACTCTTCCAGCAAGTCACACGTGTGCCTCTCCAGCCTTGTCACATTACCTCATATCCCATTTTTAGCCCTTTCTTTATAGTTTTTTCAAGTATTACTACATCTGTAACAGCGCATATCTCTAAAACTACTAATCAAATAAAGGATTACGGCCGAGGTGCACAAGCGCATCTTGAGGATGAATGCATGGTGGATACAGCCGTCATCTCACGCCTTACCATCTCATGCTCCACTGACTATGGGCTATGTATATAGGGCTTGCCAGCAATGCAAGGAAAGCTGGAGGGGCTGTATGTCCTGAGTTGTATGCGTCCTCCATTTGCAGGGCCAGGTGACTGTTGTGGGCTGTCCTGCGTCTGTTGTGCATTCATCCCAAAATGCTCTTGCTGGATACATCTCGGAGACATTCGGACTGTTTTGCTTGTGGTTTTAGAGCTGTTGAAGCCAGGGGTCTGCGTTCAGTCCCTGCTTCTCTTCCCCAACCAAATCAACTTTTAAGCTCATAAAAGGGGAAGAATTAATAGTGGTTTTGAGGTGGTGGGTGGTACCGAGCAAGTCCCGCGTGTCAGTCTTGGCCCATCTCTAGTGGTCCTGTGCCTTCCCTAGCGCTTCCTTTGTTCACAATGAAAGAATCGGTTTCTCACTGCTCACCCCCTGCGACACTGGTAGATGGGGTCTTTGTGGTGAAAGTGGGAGTGTTTACTCCGTAGCAGGCATAGTGATGATCTTTCTAAACTGAGAAAGAACAAAACATTGGCAGAAGCTCGAGCAGCCACTGGCTCAGTCGAGGCCTGGAGAGGCTGACACCGTTGCCATCTCAGACGAGTAAAGTTTAAGCTCTCTATTAGCAATTTCATATTTTGCAAATGCAAAAACAAAACTTCAATTGGATGATTTTCAGGCTGCCAAGTGCAGCTGTAGTCTATAAAAATGCCGCCGTCTCTAAAGAAACCAAAGGGTGAGACTCTTGGGGGATTGGTGCAACGCCTCCCTGTAATGGCAGTCAGTTAAAGCAAAGCCCTTTGCCCTCACAGTCGCTTGCCAATGTTTTGAACACTGGCAGCCAAGCTATCCTTTAATAACTTTTGCTTGATGCATTAATTAATTAACCCTTAACCTTCTCTTTCCCTTTTCAACCCTTTTTCTCCTTTTTCCCTTCACCATATTCCCATGTATATAAACGATTAAAAACCAACCAAAAAAACCAAAACCCACAAAAAACAAACAAACAAACAATAAAGCAGGAAATGCATGTGTGGCCATGCCTCACAAAATAGGTCGGATAATTGAGGGGAGCCCTGCAGACCGCTGCGGCAAGCTGAAAGTAGGGGACCGGATCCTGGCCGTTAATGGATGCTCCATCACCAACAAGTCACATTCGGACATTGTCAACTTGATTAAAGAAGCAGGAAACACAGTCACTCTGCGCATCATTCCAGGCGATGGTAAAGTATACGTTCATCTGTCTTTGTTCAAATGCTTTACTTCTCCGTGGCTTTTCTGGTCAGTTTGAGGTTTCCATTTCCACCCTACCAGATTTGTGATCTGGTCGTGTTTTGTTTCTCTGAGATCCTGTGCTTATGCTGTCCTGGAGCTGTGTCTTTATAGCCTCTTTCTGTCAATATATAATAGCAGCCTTCACCTCCCTGCAGGGGAGCTGCAAAGAGGAGAGGGCTGGACTGGTCTCAGTGGGGGCAGATGACAGGACAAGGAGCGATGGGCTCTAGCTGCAGCAAGGGAAGTTGAGGTTGGATATTAAGAAAAACTTTCTCACTAGGAGGGTGGTGAGGCACTGCAGTGGTTTACCTAGAGAGGTGCTGGACTCTCCATCTTTGGAGGTTTTCAGGATCTGGCTAGACACTGTCTGGGATGATGTAGTCGGGGCTGGTCCTGCCTGGAGCAGGGGGTTGGACTAGATGTGGCCTCCTGAGGTCCTTCCAACCCTCATTGTCTATGATTGTATGAATATGACCCAGTCCCTTGCTGACATTGGACCTTTGCTTGGTTCTTGGGTCTTTCATAAGAGATCACAAAAGGGAATAAGTGTACTGTTGTGTTTTTAAACTGTTTGGAAAGATGATGTGCAGGTAGCTTTGGGAACGATCCTGGTCCAGCATGAAATGATTTTGTCAAGGTGCTTTGATCCTGGAGGTGTTTGCCGGCTCCCAGCTGACTATTTTAGGAGACCCAGAGTCCTTATAATAAATAAAGAAACGTGTCTGCCTTATATCTAGGATTCCCCAAGCTGATCCTGACCATGACATTAAGAAGGCAGGAGACATAAATGCCAGGAAACTTCTGTAGTAAATTAAATTATTATGAACCCCTGTACTTTCATTGATTGCAGCGTTATGCACTGGATTGGTCCATAGCGTAAACTTTCTGCTCTGCAGAAATTTTCTCGTGCTACCTGGTTCTTTTCAAGCGAAATCAATGGTTATGACATTTGACGGCATAGATACAATTCTAATGATTATTTTTAGAATCACTCAGTACTTTTTTTGCAGTCCAGAAAACTCAATTAAATATAGAAAGAGGGTGATTAAGGAGAAATTGGATTGAGTAAGATAGGTCATTGCAACCAAAACTATTAAACGAAATCGTTTCACGTCACCGTCTGACTTGGAAACAGCTTGCTGTCACTTATACTTCACTCTCTATCTTCCAAGCCATGTTTCGTACTGCATCTATGAACTGTGCTGTGGCAGGGAACGCTTTTAAAAGACTGGAGAGAAATTGTGAATTGAGCCTGGGATTTTCAAAGGGTCACGAAAGATTTACACACCCTATTTCCTGTGTAGGGAAGGGATAAAAAAAAAAAAGAATTCAATGGTGCCTAAATCTCTCTGGATGAGAGATGAACCCGTGGTTCCAGCTGTGATTTCTAAAGCAGCCCAGGAGTCTGATTGTCATGCTTTTAGTTACGAAAATTAAAATGTACTGAGACTAGACATGTCCTGTTTATTTATAGCTAAGACAAAATATACTGCATGTGTATAAGGCTTTTTATGCTGGTCAAATGGTATGTGAGCCTGTGCTGCTTCCAGCAAATTGAGTATTCATGAATAATACAATTACTATATATCAGTTCACCAGAGTCTGAACAGGCCTGCATGTGCCAATTTTAGAGGAACGACTCTGACAGAAAAATGGTTCATTACCTTGTTCTAGCATCTGACCCAAACTGAGAAAAAATGATATCTGGAGAGCGGGGAAAAAAATCTTGAGTGGTTGGAAAATCTTCCTATCAGAGAAGTTTTCCTGTCTCATGCGCATGGCTAAAACGTGGCAGCTTTCTTCTTGGAAATCCTTCTTGTAGCATTATGGGAAAAACAAAATGCCATATTAAACACATTTAAGCTGGGGCATTTGCAAATAAGGCTGGTCATTGAGCCGTTCAGACTGAAGGGAAAGAAAGTCAACAACAAAAAGGTAAATTAAGAAAGAAAGGGTCAAACTGTTCTCTGATGATGCTGCAACTGAAGAATTTGGGAGGTTGTCTTCTTCCCTTTGAACTTCATGGTGTTTTTGCTAACATCAAGCATGCAAGCATCTGAGAGTCTCAGTCTAGGAGTGTATTAAAAAAAAGGCCACATAACAACACAGATGAGGTTTTTAACATGCCAACTACCAAGATGTGTTCACAAGTGTTGGCCTCCCATGTTCTAGGTGTGTAACAGTCCTAGGCCAGTTGGACTGAATTGTCTGCCACGCTCACAAACTAATATATGGGGTTGTTCCTGCCAACACACTAAAAGTGGTACCTCTTCTCCTTTTACTGTTTATCTCACTTTCTCTACCCCGTTATTTTGCTGCCATAACCTCCATACTGGCAGTCAGGGAGGGCTGGTTGATAATCATACTGGAGAACATCACTGCTTTAACATTCATTCAGTGCACCAAGACAAAATGTGCAAGGTAGAAAGGGAATGCCTTGCACTACAGATTGTGGAATGGGATTTTTTTTTTCCTCTTAGGACAGCACCCATTAGGAAGTATTCATTTTTCCCTTTGATTTCTGATGCATATGGATGAGGTGCAGAATCACTAAAGTGTATGCACTTGCTTCTTAATCAAGAGGTGCAATGTTGGTTTTTTCTCTGGGACAGGGTGCAAAGCGGATGATAGATCCCTAGAGAGCCATTGCAAAATCAATGGGGAGCTTGTGGAGAGACACAAATGCACACACAGCCTCTGCCCATGTATATATGTAGATACATTCTGCTTGGAGAAGCCTCTTGGATGCCCATAAGAGTTGCACACTTCTTTGCAAGGGCAGAATGTGGTCCACACTCCATTCGCATACTGTAGCTAATAATGCACTTCGTTCTGGTTTTTGCCCCTGATTCTGAAAAGACTCATGCACCTGCTTAAATTTGCCTTCCTGAGCTGTGCCTCTGAAATTGGCCTTGAAGTCAGTGGAAGTGCTCATGGTATATAAATGAATAGCCTGCAAAAGTACATAGATGTAATAGCACTTTTCTGTACCCAAGATGGTGTTTGGCACGGAACAAAACTGGATGCAGTAGATGCCTGTGTCCTTTGTAGGGCTGAATGGCCAGTGTTTTGCTGGTCCACGCTGAGCTGACTTGGTATAATGCAGCTTTCTGACTGCAGCAGCCTTTTTGGAGAAAGTAGCCTCTGTTGGGTCTGGTGGTTTGAGGAAAATCTAATGGGATACTCCAGGAGCTGTAAAGTACGAAGTTACAGATAGCCTTTCAGCAAAGGAGACAGGGGTACTTATAGGAGCTATTAGATCTACACGGGAACGCTACAGTCACTCAGATAGCTTTTCACTTCTTGTTTCAAGTTGGGGAAATAGGAGAGGATTTTCAGGAAAGGTGTTCCTTGTGCTGCCTGAGCCTTTGTGTAAAATGTTAACCGAAATACCTCCAATGTGCTGACCCTTGCCAACTCTTGGGATACAGGAAGCTAAAGATAGACTTGTGGAACTGCATCTGTGAAGAAGAGAAATTTGTTGATCTGCTTGGTATGCTTAGCACAACCTACCAGGGAGCAAAAATGTTGCATTCCCTTTGAAGTCTTCGTCTCATCCCAGACTATTCACAGAAGGCTGCTGAGGCTTGCGTGCTGGATGAATTCAGCACGCTTCAGAAACATGTATTGAACCCTCTTGTTTTCAGGGCAGAATTTAGCATTAGGGGCATCTGAATGAATCGGGCAAAAACCCATGGTCTTAAGACCAAGCCGCTTTCTAGCGAGGTGAGCATCCTCATGCAGGAGTGCCTACAATATTACTTGCATTAGTGGAGCGGAGTGGAAGCTGAGCAGATCTCAACCACTCCCTGTCTGGAAACAAGGCCTGCCCACTCCATCCTGCCGCATCCACCTAGACAGGTTGAGCAGGTCCTGAGTATGAGTACACACCTTTGCACCACTCTCTGGTGGATGAGGCTTGGTTTTGACAGTGGCCGGAGGGAGAGTCATAGGCATCTTAGGTGCCTGCTCCCTTTCCTTTGAAGCCATGCCCACTCAGCTAATGAGGAGGAGGAAACCCATACTTTATCCAGGTATCTGTAGTTAAAATATATTAGTGCAAGCATATACTACTCTGGCATTCAGTAAATACCCAGGAAAGCTTCTGACCACCTTCTTCCCTTGATTCAAGCACCAGCCACTTGCTAATGCCATTTGTAGTTCTGAGTTGGCCCTCTTTTGCCGTGAACTTGCCAGTGTCCACAGGAACAAGGAACTAGATGGTAAGAGGATGCAATTCAAACAGGAGCAGGACAGAGGAGATTGGGAGTTTTGTACTGGAGAGGCAGACACCTTATTCTGCTTTCAACTCAGCCTGGAAGGCTAAAGTTGCAATAAAGGCTGCGTTTTAAAAGAAGGTGGCAACGGCCATTGGAGCAGTGATCTGGGGCCTCAGCGGACTTGGTCACTTGAATCCTTCAAATCCAGATTGCGCAACTTTGTAAGCTTCGGTTCAGCCCGAAGTCATGTCTTGGCTGGATGAAACTCTCTGGTCTGTTATGCAGGAGGTCAGAGAGGATTATCATAACGGTTCCTTCTGGCCATTAAATTGATGATGCTATGAATGAAAGCTCATTAGCAAACAGAAAATTGCCGTGGACAAGTCTAAAAGTAATCAAGAAGCTCAGCGTGGCTTGTGTGTCAAACCACGGTTACTTCAGACTGCGTCTCTGAAGAGGCATAAAGACGGCCTTGAGGTCTCCAGACTTTGCCATTCCTGCAAAGGGGCCTGTGCCATTTTTACAGAGACCTCAGCTTGTTCAGTAGCATCTACCCCGCCAAGAAGAGGAGGAGGCTCCTCCTGCGAAAATCACTGTATAAGTGCTGAGTATTTATTATTGCTAATTTTTGCAACTGCCTGCAGCAGGGAGGCTTTCCTAATGACCAGACCTGACTACAAAGATAATCCTAGGTATTACTGTGCATCTTTTGATTCTGTAATTGTTAC